CCTAGCAGCCAACCACCCAAAGAACCAGCCAGCCAGCCAACCAGGCCACCAACCAACTGCCAACCAGCCACGAGGGGGCGGAGCGTGCCGAGAGGCATCTCTGAATAAGTTCGAGCGACAACATTCGGTATCGCATAAAATGGAAGCGACAAAAATTCCCTAAACATTCCTACGGCTTCCTAAGGATTCCTGAAGATTCCTGAAGATTCCGAAAGATTCCGAAAGGTGTCTGAGGATTCCCTAAAGATTCGCTAAGGAATTCCTAAGGATTTCTCAAGATTCCTATGGATTCGTAAAAATTCCCCAGGATTCCTGAAGGAATCCGGAAGGATTTCGTACGATTCCTATGGATTCGCAAAGATTCCTAAGGATCCCCGAAGGAATCCGGAGGAATCCTGAAGAATTCCGAAGGATCCTAAGGAATCATAAGGACCCTGAGGATCCCCAACGGAATCCGGAGGAATCCTGAAGAATCCCGAAGAATCCCAAAGAATCATAAGGATCCTGTAGATCCCGAAGGAATCCTGAAGGATTCCCAAGAATCCCAAGGAATCCTCAGGAATTCCGAGGACTTCGAAGGAATCCTGAGGAATTCCGAAGAATCCGAAGGAATCCTTAGGAATTCCGAAGACTCCGAAGGAATCCGGAGGAATTCCGAAGAATCCGAAGGAATCCGGAGGAATTCCGAAGATTCCATCCATGGTTGGAATTGGTCTCATTTCTGGTTGGAATTGGTCTCATTTCTGGTTGCAATTCGCTCCGAACGGTTGGAATTGGGACGAGTCGGTTGTAATTCGTTCCATTTCGGTTTGAATCCCCCCCCCCCCTTTGGCTGCCTCTGGTCATCGTCGCTGCGTCCCCGCCGTCGGCGCTGCTGGCGGTCGCCAGCGCCGGCGCCGGCGCCGAGGGCGGGGGGGGGAGGGGGCGGGTTTGAACCCCCCCCCTCTGGGAGGGGAGGGGGGGAATGGGGTTTCGGGAGGGGAGGGTTTTGGGTGGGAGGGGAGTCCCCCTGATTTTGATCGACGGCGCCGAGTGTTTGGGGGGTGGGGCCATCCCGGGGTTCGAAACGCGCCGCCGAATGTTCCCAAGGCAAGTGCCCGTGAAACGCGCTCTCTCCGATGTAGCCGAGTAGCCCGAGTAGCCCTAGTAGCCTGAATGGGCCCAGCGCGCGACACATTCCGATTCACCCAAATAGTCCGAGTAGCCCGAATGGGCCTGGCGCGCGAAACATTCCGTTTGCGCCGAGTGGCCCGAGTAACCCGAATGGGCCCGACGGGCGAGACATGCCGAATGACCAGAGTAGCCCGAGTATCAAGAGTAGCCCACGTTGTCCCAGCGCCCGAGACATTCCAATTGACCAAAATAGCCCGAATAGCCCGAGTAGCCCGAATAAACCGAATAGCCAGAACAACCCAAATAGCCCGAATAGCCCCAATAGGAATGGCCCGAATCCCGAATGGGCCTGGCGCACAAGAAAATCCGATTTAGCAGAGCAGCCCGAGTAGCCCAAATGGGCCCAGCGCACGAGACTTTCCGATTGACCCGACTAGCCCGAACAGCCCGAATGAGCCCGAATTGACCTCAGCGAGACCCTAGTCGGGCTGTTCGGACTATTCGGGCTGCTCGGGTCAGCCCACTTTTCGGACACGCCTGGCCGACGCACCGCGAGTTCTAGCCAATCTAGATCACAAGACATGATTAAATCCGAGGGGCCGCCGCCAACGCGTAGATGTCTGTTTCGATCTGGATCTCCCGAATCCAATAAGGTGTGCATCTCGTGGGGAGGGCCGAATCTTACTTCCGCCAATGGATTCGCCGCTACTCTTCTTTCATCGGCCTCCGCCAGCATTCCGCCGATGAAGAGACGGCACGCTTTTGGTCGCTCAAAGGCGACGCCATGTCTGGAACGCCCCACCAGCGCTGGAATACAAGAAAACGAAACCCTACCATGGCCAAGAATGGAAGCGGGAACGTCGGTACGTACCACTATTCGTCATCGCCCATCTTGGTCATCGACAGTTCGCGGATCATCCTCGGAAATCGGCACGGCCAACATGGACCATGACCAAGATCGGCGCCGACAAGATCCCGCTTGATCATGGTCATCGTGTTTTTTCCCCACAAGAATGCCCCTGAGCGCACTAGTCCGCGCACGCACCGATAATCTCCCGCCGCTTGTGCCCGGGGCGGCCACAACGCGAGCGCCGATCAGAGATCACCGCTCCTGATGGCGTCGTGCCCCGGGGAAGTCACTACAAGAGAAAGAGCAGTGTAGAGGTCTTAAGAAGGGGTGTCTTGTGTTAACGGGCGCCTGGAAACGGCAATTTTCCCTAACTGATGCCTGCCATGAGGGGTTATTTAATTCTCTTCTGAGGAGCCGGGCCCAGTTGTCGGTTCCAGCAGGCTTGTGTAGGAAGCTGGGCGAGGGCTGCTAAAACCGTGGCTGCTAAAACGGCCCTCCCGGAAGGAAAAAAACAACTTCCCGGAATGAGGCGCGGCACGCGAAACAGTCAACGGGCTTCTTTCCGGAAGGACGAAGACGAGGATGAGGAGGAGGAGGAGGAGGAGGAGGTCGATTTAGCAGTCACGGATTTAGCAGCCCTTGCCCGGCTTCCGATTGTGGCCGCCCGTCGCCGCCGTCCTTAGTCACGATCTGATCGTGCGGGGCACGCGCTATGCATTTCGTTGCATCGCTCTGCACTGCGTTGCATGGCGTTGTACCCGCATTCCTTCGCATTCCTTCGCATTGCTCTGCCTTGCCTTGCACCGTGTAGCTTTGATTTGGATGGCATTGCTCTGCATTGCCGTGCATTGCGTTGCATTGCTGCGCGCTGCTGTGCATTGTATCTCATTGCCTTGCACTGGTTGCATTGCTCATTGTTCTGCATTGCGCTGCGCTGCGTTGTAGTCGCTTTGCAATCGCATTGCAATCGCTTGTCAATCGCATCGCATCGCATAGCATTGCTGTACGTTGCGTTGCATTGCTTTGCATTTCAGTAATCCTTTGGCATTGCAGTGCGTAGCTTTGCATTGTGAGCGTTTTCTTTTTCGGCGTTTCGACATCTGGCGGAAGGGGGGAGTGGGGGGTGGGCTGGCTCTGGACCTCTGCTTAGTGCGAATGTTTGCAGCAATGCGTCCTATGGGTGAGGCTCCACCTGCCTGAAACAGGCGCCGAAAACAACCAAGATCTACTTCGTGAGGGGGGGGGGGAGGGGGGGTGCGAGGGCCCGCACCGATCGGTAAAACAAGGAAACAACTATCATACTGCGTTGCATTGTTCTGCGTTGCTTTGCGTCGTTATGCATTCCTTGCATTGGTTTGCATTGCGTTGCGCTGCTTTGCATTGCTGTGCATTGCTTTGCATTGCGTTACGATTAGTGTGTTTGCATTGGTTTGTGTTGCTGTGCGTTGGTTTGCATTGCCTGCTTTGCTTGGCATTGATGTACATTGCTTTGCATAGCATTGCACTGGTTTGCCTTACGTGGCATTCGTTTGCATTGGTTTGCATTGCGTTGCATTGCGTTGCAATTCTTTGCCATCGCACTGCGTTGCTTCGTATTGCTTTGCGTTGCGTTGCATTGCGTTGCATTGCTTCGCATTGTGTTGCGCACCATGGATTGCACCACCTAGATTGCACCAACCAGATTGCACCACCTAGATTGCGCCGCATAGATTGTAGGAGCTCACTATTTGGGATCCGCGCCGGCGATCATGACCCACGAGAGCCGCAAGTGCGTGGCGTCCCGATTTCGAACAAACGTTGGCTCGGCGTCGACCGCTTCAAACAACGTCCGAATTCCTGATTTCAACTTCCCCATGGGACCACCGTTCAATCTGAGCGGCGCCATACAGGCCCTTTCCAAGACGTCCGATCACCAGGCCTCTGGAACAAGGGGGTACGCTTAAGTCGGGCCTGTCCCCTTACAGGGGGATTTTCGACGAACAAAAAAAATACCCCCTAAATAATCAAAGAATAGCCAACAAAGAATCTGGGGACTATTTTGGGGGTATTTTCTTTAACTTTTTGGTGCATGTTTGGGTATTTTGTATTTTTCGTCGAAAATCCCCCTGTAGGGGGACACGCCCGACATATGGACATCAGGGTACGCACGGAAGAAAGGCAGCCGCGGCAGCGCGGGCCGAGAACACGGGCCCCCTCGCCGAAGGCCCAGCGCCACACGAACACCTTGCTTCGTCGGCTCTCGTCGGCGGCGAGGCGGAGTTGGCTGCACCAGCGAAAGCGCTGGGCGGGGGGCGCCGAACAGCGAGTTGGCCAGCGCGCAAGGAGGGTCGGGGGCGGCAAAGAGGGGGGCGTCAACGAGGGGGGGGGGTGCAAATCATGACCGGCGGCATGTGCGCGGCCCAGCGGGGGGGCCAGGGACGCAATGAAATAAGAAGAGGCGCCATGAAATCTGGGGAGATATCATGGCCCCCGCCATGATATCCACCCCCCCCTAGTCACCACCCCCCTCTCTGCCGCCCCCGAGCTAGGCGGGGGGCGCCGAACAGCGAGTTGGCCAGCGCGCAAGGAGGGGAAGACGGGTGCCAAACGGAAGCGTGCCCAGGACGGGCAGCAGCCCGAAGCGGGGAGCCCAGCCGCGAAGAGCGTCAGGGTCGCGCCTCCCGGGTCTTTGGCTGAGCGCAACCCTCGTGCAAGCTGCGAGCAGGGAACTTACAGGAGGAGGAGCTCGACTACAGGAAACCTTCCACAAGAAACCCAACCCTGAGACACCAGGACGTCCTTTGATTTTTGGTGCGGGAACCTCACGCCTTCCATCGCAAAACCATGAAGACCGAGACACCCAGGGCATCCCGGAGGCAAGCAGGGTCCTGGATATCCCCAGGGCTGTCCCCGGGACTGGGTCGGGGGCCTGGGGAGGCAGAAAACTACGAGAAAAACCGCAGTATCCGTTTCTTGCCAGACTCGTTTCCTTCATGTTGAGGATTCTGGATGTTCTGGAGCTGCTGGGCGAGCAGAGCCGAGGGATCTCCCGCCCCTCCTTCTGCGCGGCATCCTGCGCCTTCGCAGTGCGAAACCATGCTGTGCGCCTGCGGCGGCCGGCAAGCGCGGAGGGGAAGCGGCGAGGAGTCGGGGAGGGGGAGGGCGGCGGCGGACTCTGCACCGCGCCGCAGGAACGGCCCGGGGCAAGAGCGGCTTCCGCGGGCACCCCAGAATCGGTCCAGCTGGTGCGCTCACCCGGCCCATGGCCTCGTGCGCGGAATGGTGCCGACGATTTGGCCTCGCCTCCGTGGTCAAGCTAGTGCGTTAGATGGTCCATGCAGTGGTGGCCCGACCACAAAGAGGCCTTCCACAAGAAACCCGACCCTGAGACCCCAGGACGTCCATGGATTTCTGGTGTGGCAACGCCACGCCCTCCATCGCAAAACCATCGAAACCCAAGACACCCAGGGGTACCCTGGAAACAAGCAGGGTGTTTCTTGGCATGGGTCTCCACCTAGAGGCCTCCCATATGGGGTCCGAGTAGATGGGGTCGGAGGATCTCGTCGCATGGCCGATACATCGGCGATGTTTCGTCGTTGCATGGGCGATGCACTTGCGACGTCAGCGATGCATCGGCGACGTCGGCGTGGAGAAAGTTGAGCCCCACACCGAGCCGCATCGCCGATGCATCGCCGATGCATCGCCGATGCATCGCCGATGCGGCACGATCATCCGATCTCATCTACTCCGCAGTTCGGCCTCCGCCACCCCGCCGGGCTGGCGACCCTCGCGGGGGCGCGGGCTCCCACATGTGCGAGTCGGGGGTCTGCGGGGGTCTGCGGGGGTGGGCCTGGACACCCATGACCTTCCCGCACCGCGTGCCCCGCGCGGTGGCCCGTTGGGGGTGTCCAGTGTCACCTGGCGCTGGAAGGGCCAGGTAGGCATGGGCCTGGGGCCGCTCACCTTCGGTGAGTCGGTGCTGCACGTCGTGCGGCACATGTGAGGCCGGCGCCTCTTCCCTTCCCTTTTTTCTCACTGTTTCTCTCTTCGTTCTCTCTCGAGCCCCGTCGGCGGTGTTGCGGCTCACATGCTCTAAGGAGTCGTGGGGGGGTGGGCGTTTGGCCCCCTCCGCGTACGGCGTGACAAACCTATGTTGCGCTACGGCTTTGTCGAGGTGGAGGAGGGAGAGAGGGAGGAGGAGATAGAGGAGGAGGAGGAGGGAGGAGGAGGAGGAGGAGGAGGAGGAGTAGTAGGAGGAGGAGGGAGGAGGAGGAGGAGGAGGAGGAGGAGGAAGAGGAGCTGAGGAGGAGGAGGAGGGGGAGGAGGAGGAGGAGGACGGGTCGCCTAAGCCCTTCGGAGGAACCCTCCACTCCCTTGTGCGTTCAACCAGCTCAGAATCGTCTGCTCGGACTGGTGCGACCTCACGGCCCATAGTTCGGCCTCCCTGCGGCCCTGCAGGACAGCGCTCCGCAGGTGAACAGTGAGCCCTCCCTCCCTTCCTTCTTCCCCTGATCCTTATCTTCCCCTCTCCCTATCCCCTCATTGGGAGGCCTGGTGGTTGACACCAACACCTACAGCGGCGGTGTGGCTCCACCGAGTGAAGGTTCTCCCAATCTCGGTGATGGTGGTCATATGTTGGCTTCCTAGGTGGCCGAAATATGACCACCAACACTGAATTCTAGGATCATCCTCCCCTGGTTGAGGCATGTCCGTGTGTTGGTGTTGGTGCACATTTGCAGGCCTCCAACTCCTTCCTCCCTCACCCTCCCTCCTTGCACCCCTCCTCTCTCCCTTCTCCCTCCCGCCTCCCTACCTCCCTCCTGTCGTTCTCCTCCCCTCCTCCTCCACTCTCCTTCTCCTCCTCTTCCTTTCTTCCTCCGTGCTCCTCCCCTCCTTCTCCTTCTCCTTCTCCTTCTCCTTCTCCTCCTCCTCCTTCTTATCCTCCTATTCCTCCTCTTAATCATCCTCTTCCTCCTCTTCGTCATTATCTTCATGTTCCTCCTCCTCATTCCCCCTCCCCCTCGACAATCTCCTCCATTTCCTCCTCCTTTTCCTCCTCTTCCTCCTCTTCATACTGCTCTTCCTCCTCTCTGGCAGCCTACCAGACCACCCAAACGCAACCCGAAGACCCAAACTTGACCCGAATTTCGTGTTGGGGGGGGTACGGGTTCCATGTGTTTTTTTCAATGTTCCTCGCCCCCCCCACTGGAAATGGAGGGCTAATTGAGGCCTTCGGGTTGGGTTGGGGTGGTTTGGTGGGTGGTGACTCTCCTCTTCCACCCCCTATCCTGGCATCTATGCGAGGAGGAGGAGGAGGAGGAGGAGGAGGAAGAAGAAGAGCCGAGGGGGAGGAGGAGGGGGAAGAGGGGGAGTCGGAAGATGAGCACTCCTGGCGAGCGCACCTTCAAGACATCCCCAGCCCCGCCGCCCTCCGCAGGCCTTCCGCCGCGGAGCAGAGGACGGCCGCCTCGATCCGGCGAGGGCGAGGCCCTCTCTGGAGAGCGCGCCTCTTGATGGCCAGACCGAGGCACGAGTCCCCCTAGCGCTATGTTGCTTCCATCGCGCTTATTGACCACATCCCAGAAACATCTTCGAGCACCCAGAACAGTATCGGAACAATGTCGAACGAGTGTCGCCTCCCAGGGCCCGACACGAGAATACCCTCCAGTTTCGGTACTTTCTTGGTGCTCGGAACTCTTTCTGGCGATGGGCCCCCTTTGGGCACCTGCTGGCTCCAAGAGGGGGCCCTGAAGGGCCCATCTAAGGTCCTTCTCTTCACTCCCATTTTTGAGCAGGGACCGACCGTCCCGGCAATCCTATAGGCCTACCGCGACGTGTTCTTAGAACCACAAACTGTTCAAACAACCAAAACGATGTTCTTACAGCAAAAACCCGACGTACTCAAACAAGACAGTCTCAGCCAGAACTGTTCTAGGACCATGTCGCGCAGACCGCAAGAGGTTCTTAGAACACTATTTCGAGCTATACGGGAGCCAGGACGCTTCGCCACTGCCTGCCATTGGGGCCACCCCCCATTACCACCCGCCCGGCTATCCATATCCACGCCCTCGCGGTCTGGACTCCGGGGCGCGACCCTGTGGATATGCGGTCGCCTGGAGACGCCCCGGGCTGGGCATCGGGGTCGTGGCCCAAGGGCCCGGTCCGCGAGGTCGCGTACGTATTTGTTTTCCGCCTATGAGGCAAGGCACGGCAAGGCGCCGATGTTCTCCCCTGGGAAGGGGGGGGCAAGGGGGGGGCGGCCCTCTGAGAGCTCAGGAAGCCGAAACGCAGATGTCGTAGCACACGATTGCTTCTGAATCCGGAATTCGAACCATTGACTCCATTGAATCAATCCTTGCCACCAGCTACAAAGGCAGTAACAAAAGCACGAGGTGCGGCGTCGGAGCTCTCTGCCCAACGCGTCCTCCCTCTGCCAACCCGCTCCCCCGTTGGGGGCAGTTCCTGCCAGGGGCAACCGACTGTCTGTTGCGTTTGCGAGATCTGGTGTGAGCACAAGTTCGACAAATATGGATGGAAAACAACATGTTGACCACCCTGGACCCCAAACTGTGGTTTCAATCGTACCAGGTTTTGCAATGTATTTGGTGCGAGCTGTGTGGTGCAAGCTATGTACTGCAAGCTCTGGGGTGTGAGCTATGTGGTGGAATCAGCGTGCTGCAATACATGTGCTGCGTTCTATGGGGTTTGAGCTAAGTCGCGCAGTCTACGTCGTGCAACCCATGTGCATTTATGTACTGTGAACTACTTGGTGTAATCTACGTGGCCCACTATATGTGCAGCCAGCGTTTTTACCCAAGTGGTTTGAACAATGTGGTACAAGCTACGTGGTACAATAGACGTGGTGCAATCCACGCGGTCGAACTACGGGGTGCGAGTTACGTCGTGCAACTTATGTGGCTCAATCCGCGCGGTGCGATCTATGTGGCGTAAGCTGTGTAGTGCGAGCTATGTGGCGCAAGCTGCGTGGTGCCACCGATGTGGTGTGAGCTCTGACATGTGAGCTGCGCGGTAAAAGCTCTGAGGCGCAATCTACGCGGTGCAATCCACTCAGCTGAGCTTGAAGTCGTCATATCCAATGCTCGCGCAAACATCCGACCCTCCCACCCGCACATTGGTCGGCAAAATTCATGATGCGGGAGACGGCGGCGCCACCGATGACGACATCGATGATAACATCCTCACAACCGATGCTCGCCACCGTGAATCGATGATGAAGGTGAGCATATCGACGGTACCCGGACGTGCGCGATGACAAGATGACGTCGGCAACGTCTGCGACAATGACGAAGGTGGCACCAACGACGGCGATGTTCAAGGGGGCGCCGGCACGAACGATAACGACGCCAATGATGGCAAACACGCTGGCGATGCTGATGTCCATCTGTCGATGAGGCGGATGATTGCGGTGATGCTGACAAGGATGAAAAGGAAATCCGCGCGCGCGGAAGTTCAACGCATCCGTCAGACTGATCATGCGCGCGCGGCGGTGCGCGCATGTGGCCCACATGGTATTTTGTTTGCAAGGGATTCGCGCCCTTGGCACATGACAGGAGCATCGCGGGTGCACCGCGCGGTGACATGAAATCGCTGGATTTGGCCGAAGTCATAAGCATCCCATGGTTTTTGTATGATTTTAGCACGAGCGCGCAAAACAGGAAATTTGCAAAACGAATCGTTGCAAAACCATCGTTGTTTTAATTCGGTTTTTATGCTGAGATGCTTGCACACATAGTGATGTATGGTACGATTTTGACATGGACGCGCGCGTGATGACTTTGTGGTATTTTTTAACAAGGGATGTTTGACAACTTCTGGTTTTTGATAAACGAGTGCGCGCGCACTTTTTTTGAACAGGATGGCGGGGAGGCCGATACCGGGTGGGCTGGGATAGTATGAATTCAGATTTCGGATGGACGATGGGGCAGAATCATATGTAAATTGCAATACGACGAAAGGGGACCGTTAACTCGGGGGGGGGGGATCGAGTCTATTCTTCTTGTAGAAAGGAGGACCTATGCGGTGTAGGCTGTCGTACTACATCTGCGGTAAAAGCTGTGCTGTGTGGAGACCACACTGGCGACGAGCG